GATGAGTCAATGAAAAAGATTTTGTTCTGAATAAAAGGGATAAATTATAGCATGAGAAATGAGAGCACAAATTTATACTGACACATTTTTCTTACATTCACTCACCTTCTTGCAAGAACTTTCAGAATCCTCAATAATGAGAAATTCAAAGAAAGGCTTATTCTATTCTTCCCCGACCAGTGGCAAAGAGGGGTACCTTTATGGTCCCTAACAAAAAGTCCATTGAAGTTATCCCCGTCCTCCCCTCATTGGGTAATTGGGCTGGAAAGTCTGAGTGCTGATAGCTTTGGAAATACTAAAATCTGTAAAAATTAACCAATTTTCAAGTCAACACTGAAAATTATTTAGGCCAAAATCTCTTGCTCAAAACTCTGCAAAGTCCAGACTCCTTTAGTGTAGTAAAATCTAACGATGGCTCACAAATTTAATAGAATGTGGGTCATCTTAGCTCTGAAATATTTCTGAAGAAGCAATATTGCATTTGAAGCACTTGTGTCATGGTCACCACCTGCAAATGCTCACAGGGACAACGGGAAAGCCAAACGTGGAGGTGCTGGAACAAAGATGGACTTCTCCCTGGCGGCATAATAGCGGTGTTAGAGCATGATTAGTCTTATTAATGGGAAGGGAAAGGAAGGCTATATGGGTAATTAGGACTCAAGTGCTCTTCTCTGTGAGAGCAAATAAAACTCTTCCTGCAGCTAGAGTTGTATATATAATGAGCATGAAAAATGAATAGTGGTATGAGAGACAAGACGAAAAACACAAACTCAGGTGAAGCAGCCTCGCCATTTGCTATTACAAGATTTCATCTCAACCTTTCCAGCAGACTGGATTACGCTGGATTCTAGCGTGCACCAGATATAATGTGAATGTGGGTGTAGCTAATTTAAGGTACCAGAAAAATGCAAAATTCTGAAGAAGACTGATAATGGTTGAAACTCCTACACACTATTCCTCAAAGTATATCAGACCTTTCATTGGCTCTAGCCTTAAGCAAGAGTTTTAACCAATTCAAAAGCACATCGCTCAAAACCTACCTCATTAGGGTCATCATGAGGATTATGGGAAATAATGCATACAAAGAAGTTAGTCCAACATTTAACACATATTAACCAGTCCCTAAATATTACTTCTAGTCATCAGAGGGGCAGTTATAGTAAAGAGTATTTTCCAAACTTATTTGGTCTTTATGGCCCCAGAGCATTTAGGATTGCATAGAATGTGAGAAACGTTCTAAAGTACGCTGATACTAGCCAAATTCTACCAAAATCACTGTTTGGGGCCTATTATTTGAAGAGATAAAACTATTTCTAGCCAGTATTTAAGAGACATTTGGGAGTCACTGGGAGACAAAGGAGAAAAAGCTTGTTGTTGTTGTTTTAATAGGCAACGAAGAGTAACTACCACACAAAGTATATTAGAACAAAATCTCTATGAGTTTCTTACTTATTCCCCAAGAATGCCATCAGCTTCAATGAAGCACAGTTAATAAGGACCATCATAGCTGCTCTGTAAATATCAAACACAGTTTTGCTTCCTTTTAAACTTGGTAGTCTAAAGCTCTTCACTGACAATGGGGCTTGTATAAAGATTTTCTGTATCTGCCCTATTATTTACCTCTTTTGGTTAAGTATTTTGTACTTAACGTTTGCTTTATGACTAATGTTGAGTATATTAGAGTGTATTACAATTAGGGGTTCTCAGCGGCTTTAAAAAAATTCCTAGTAAATATACAAAAACAAAGAGTCTTTTCATAGAATATGTGTTTGACAGTTAACAAGTTGGGTTATGGAGAGAAGACAGGACTAAGGCAACTGCAATTATGATTAGAGCCCTCTAGGTTGTAGCACTCACTGGATATTCTGTTTAAAAAAAATAAAATAAAAAGCTACTGCAACTAAAGAATGTGTGTTCTTTTCCTTGTTTGTAAACATCCTAGAGGTGGTGGTAGATAAAATGGGAAAACCTTAGTGGTAATCTGTTTCCATTTCAGCCAGACTAACTCGTTTCATTGTATACTAGAGTCCTGGTGCATGGATTGGTGCACATGGAAAGGAAATTAATTAGAAGAAATATTTTAGAGGCCAGGGAGGGACCGCAGGAAAGATTGGCCGGTCAGGGAGGGACCACGGGAAGTCTCCAGGGCATGTCCACCCTGTCTCGCTCAGTCCCCATCGGCCAGACCCCAGCAGCAAGCTAACCTACCGGTTGGAGCATCTGCCCCATGGTGGACAGTGCGCGTCATAGTGACTGGTCGAATGGTTGAACAAACGGTTGGACACTTAGCATATTAGGCTTTTATTATATAGGATTGTTACTGTGGCATTAAAAAGACATTTGTTAGATTCTTTGGGCAACTTAAGATCTAAAAGCAAGAAAAAGAAACCAATGTTGTGGTTGATAATATTGATCCATAAATGCCCTTTCCCCTTCTCTTTTCCTCATTCCTTCTCCACTTCTTCTCTATTCATACTACATTCCCACCTCAATTTCTCTTCCACATTCTTTTTCTTTTGACCGTGCCACATCCATGAAATCCAAAGGAACTTCTTGATATCACACAGAACTGAAGGCATAGAGTTTAGAGGAACTTCATTCCACGACATTCTTTAGTTTTTATTGTAGTGATCAGTGTTTAGTAATTAAAAAGAGAAGGAAAATTTCTAGAAACTTGGCTGTTATATCTCCAGACATTGTCAAATGTCTCTGGGAAGGTCATATAATTGAGCTGAGAACTACTGTTAACCCATCAAATCTTTCCAGCCCATTTCTTCTTATTAATCCCTTCAACCTAGGACCCAACCTCTCTTCTGGTTAAAACACCTCTAATTCCTTTAAACTTGCCATACAGGATCTTTATTTCATACCCTCTTGGCACTAATTAAAATCACTGCAATATTAGTAAAATGTTTTTAACAGCATTGCTTAGCACCAGAACCTACACTATACTAGTAGACACCCAAATTATTTACAACACAATGTCCAACAGAAATTAAATGTAACCCACATTATGTAATCTTGCATAATGTAATATTATTGGGTAACAAGAGAAAACCTAGATGACCTTGGGCATGGCAATAACTTTTTAGAGGCACAATCCATGAAAAAATAATTAAGGTAGACATTTCATTAAAATTAAAAACTTTGTTCTGTGAAAGACAATATCAAGAGAATGAGAAGAGAAGCAAAAGACTGAGAGAAAATATATGCAAAAGGCACATCTCATAAAGGATTATTTTCCAAAATATATAAAAACTCAAAAATAAAAAAACAACCAACCTGATTTAAAAAATGACCCAAAGACCTCAACAGATACATCATCAAAAAAGATACACAGATGACAAATAAGCACATGAAAAGATGCTCCACACCATATGTCTTCAGGGAAATTGAAAATTAAACCAACTCCTATTTGAATGGCCAAAATCCAGAATGCTGCCAATGCCAAATAGTGGTCGGATGTGGAGCAGCAAGAACTCTCATTCATTGCTGGTAGGGATGCATAATGGTACTGCTACTATGGAAGACAGGTTGTAATTTCTTACAAAACTAAACCTACTCTACCATACAATGTCGCAATCATAATCCTTGGTGTTTACCCAAAGGAGCTGAAAACTAATTCCACACAAAAATTTGCATACCAATATTCATAGCAACTTTATTCATAACTGCCAAAACCTGGAAGTAACCGAGATGTTTCTTTAATAGGTCAATGAATAAACTGGTACATCCGGACAATGGAATATTATTCAGTGCTAAAAAAAAAAAAAATGAAGCCATGAAAATATGTGGAGGAACAGTAAATGCCTATCAGTAAGTTAAAGAAGTCAATCTGAAAAGACTATACACTGCATGATTCCAACAATACGTCATTCTAGAAAAGGCAAAACTATGGAGGCTGTAAAAAGATCAGTGGTTGCTAGTGCTTAAGGGTAGCAGGGGAAAGGGATGAACAGGCGGAGCACAGAAAATTCTTAGAGCAGTGAAATAGTCTGTATGATACTATAATGGTGGGTCCATGTCGTTATACATCTGTCCAAACCCATAGAATGTACACCACCAAGAGTGAACCCTAATGTAGACTATGGACTTTGGGTGATTATAATGTATCAATATAGGTTCATCAATTATAACAAATGTACCACTTTAATGGAGGATATTAATAATGGGAGAGACTATGCATGTGGAGGTGTAGGGGTATGAGAAATCTCTGTTCATCCCTTTCAATTTTGCTCTGAACATAAAAAACAACTTTAAAAAGTAATAATAAAGGGAGGGAGGAGAGGAGTGCTAAATCTGATAGGATTAAGAACAAACAAACTTGTTTACAGTAAGCCAAACCATACACAGAACATTCATGCACCACTTGCAGATGGGGATTTGTTCTGAGAAACGCATCCTTAAGTGATTTCATCATTGTGCAAATATCATAGAGTGCATGCACACACACACGTAGATGGTATAGACTACTACATAACTCGGCTACATGGTATAGCCTATTGCTCCCAGGCTACAAGCCTGTACAGCATGTTACTGTATAAAACAATACGAGATTAAGTCAAGTGAAAGAGAAAATGATGCAATGAAAAGATGTGGTAAAGACAAGGTATATGGTTTTACAGCAAACTTTTTTTTAATAAGTAGAAAGAGTACACTCTACAATAATGATAAAAAGTATAGTAAATTCATAAACCAGTAACAGAGTGTCATTTATTATCATTATCAAGTACCATGTACCGTACATAATCGTATGTGCTAACTTTTTTACGACTGACAGTGCAGGATTGTTTACACCAGCATCTCCACAAACATGTGAGTAATGTGTTGTACTATGACCTTTCAGTGGCTATGATGTCACCAGGTGATAGGAATTTTTCATCTCCATTATAATCTTATAGAACCACCATTGCATATATTTATCTGTCCTTGACCGAAACGTCACCATGTGGCACACAACTGTACACTTTGAGCTACCCAAACAGCTGTGAGCCTCTTACCTTCCATACTTGGGGAAGGGAAAGCCATCATCATTAGCACAGGAAGAATCATCACTCCATCTACCATTGTACAACTGTGGAGGAAAAAGGGAGATATAAGTAAGACAAAAAATTTAACTGCAGGATGACAAGTTAAATTAAGCATACCATTTTCAAACTGCCATTCAAGGCCTTTCTTACAAATCCCCCTCACATATGTTGCCTTATTTCTTAGTATATTTAAACACATACCCTTTACATAGATCTAAACAAATCATCTTAAGAAGTTAATCAGATGTACCTCCTGCTGGTGGCCACTCTAAGGTGATTTTCTCTGAGTCTACCCTCTTACAAAGAACTCAACAGGGGCAGGAAAAGTTCTCAGCTATATAAGGCTAGGCATTCCCAAAGGACCTTAGATTTGAATTTTATCTTACCCTATTGAATGCAGAATTGGCATTAAATTAAAACCTCTGAGAAGCATGAATAGACTGCTCTTACAATATGATAAAGATTAAGTGACTGAATCATTCAAGCCAAATTACTGTGTTTGAGCCTTACTTCTCCTTGCTCTTCATACTGCCCCAAGGGGAAAAAAGCAAACCTACAACATATCCCTCATCTATACCAAAACAGTGCTTTCCTTTATCAACCTCAAATTTAACAGAGGACAGACATAACCAAGACAGGAAGAAATCGTGTAAATGTGTAATATGTAAAACTATAACTGAGAGAAAACAAGGTACCTGATAAAAATTTCCAGTTGATACTGCCCTGAAACTACATTGGCAAAAGATCAATGTTATGGGGTAAAAGACTACAAAAGAGAACTTTTCCATTTGAATAAACTTGAGAAGTTTCAGGAATATGATGACTGTTTGGTTATATGAGTTCTTTATTACAAGAAATAATTTTTTAAAATTTTAAACCTTTGTCTAGTTGTGATTTTCTGGATGGTAAAAAAAAAAGAAGAAAATGGGTAAAGTTCTTTAATAAATAGGTTAATGTGCTATCTCACTCTTACAGCTTCAAAGCAAAGAGCAAAAGCCTGTTGCTATGTAAGCAGTTTAGAGTGGATACCTGATTCATCTTCTTAAGATCACATTCTGAGGTTGGTAGTCTGATTGTTCATTCCCTACACCTCCATCCTCTGTTACCAGCCTTCATTCGAATTTGTTCATAATTGTATTTCAACCTACCCCTTCTCTATTAACAAGATGAGGAAGGGGAGTAAAGGAGATGTGTTTATGTACCTTCCTTTTATACTAAAAGAACATGAAATTTGAGTGAGCCCCTTTTTACTGCTGTTATTATTTCCATGCTCACGTAGATCTTGTCAATAGTGAGCCCTTATTTGCGACATACAAACTACCTCATCTTGGCCCTCACAACCAGATTCCTCCAACAGCACATCATGAACATGAACATTGTGTTGGTTCCGTCTGCCTCCAATGCCCTGAGTCTCCTCCTCCACCCCTCTCCTACCCAATTGCCTCCTCCTGCATTCATAATCTAGCTCAAAAGGCAAACACTAGGTGGAATACCTCTCTGTCAGCAGATTTTAACCCCCCAGTGGTCTAACACCACTTGGAATGAATTCATTGTTTATGTCTGTCTCCAGCACTAGACCACTTGTCTCCAAAAGGGTACATGTGTCCAATGGTCATGTCAGACAACTCATTGACTTGTGGAATTAACATTCAAAAATTTTTACTTTACAGCCCTGGCCGGGTAGATCAGTTGGTTAGAGTGTTGTCCCAATACACCAAGGTTGCAGGTTCGATGCCCAGTCAGGGCACATACAAGAATCAACCAATGAATATATAAATAAGTGGAACAACAAATCAGTGTCTCTCTCTCTACAATCAATCAATAAATTTTAAAAATATTATCTTATATTAAATGTGTTTATCTAAAAGAGCCATAAATAACTTGGGCCTTTATTTGGTCTCTGTCACAATCCCTGTTGACAGTCTAGTATAAGAGGTATCTTTCAGAAAGAGTGGGAGATATAATGTGAAAGTGTGGAGACTACACCCCCGTACTATCCTTTTAAGGTTCCATTTAGGTAGAATTACAGGTTGAATTGGCTAGTTATAATGAAATGAGCCCTCCCCCAATGGGAAGGGTTCTAAAAACATTAAAGAAACTACAGATTAAATATGGTATTAATCTGTAGAGAAGAGTAAGAAAATGTGAAGCTGATTTCTCTCATCCAAGTAGTTTTTCATTAATCACATTACTAGAAAAAAGCAGTTAACATTCAGTTGAATCTGACATAAAGTTGTCTCCCCTCCTGGCCAGTGTGGCTCAATGATTGAGCATTGACCCATGAACCAGGAGGTCATGGTTAGATTCCGGGTCAGGGCACATGCCCAGGTTGTGGGCTAGATCCCCAGTGGGGAGCATGCAGGAGGCAGCTGATCAATGATTCTCTCTCATCATTGATGTTTCTATCCTCTGTCCCTCTCCCTTCCTCTCTCTAAAATCAATAAAAACATTTTTTAAGAAAAAGAATGCCCAACTTCAAAATAAAAAAATACTTAAAAATTGATTTACATCCAGTATCATAAACAATAAACATTATCCTCACTGACCTGAGATTTTCATTAATAAGATATCATCACCATTAGCAGTCTTTAAATATTTCATCTTTAACCTATCTAAAATTTCTATTTTATGTATGTTTTATAATAGTTTTTATTTTACATAAAACTTATAACCAACATACATATTGAGGGTGCATGCTCAAAAAACTTTTTAACCAATGGGACATGTTATCAAAACCTTTTTAAAACAACTGGACTATCTTAGTTTTATCTTTGAATTCCAGTCCTTCCTTCCCTCCTTCGTTCGTTCGTTCCTTCCTTCTTTCCTTTCTTCCATAACTAATGAGAGACTACTGTTTACTAGACTTTAGAAACTTAGAGTAACCTATATATATAAAAGCCTAAGCGACCAAACGACTGTTTCACTGGTCGCTATGATATGCACTGATCACCAGGGAGCAGACGCTCAATGCAGGAGCTGCCCCCTGGTGGTCAGTGCACTCCCACAGCGGGAGCGCCACTCAGCTGACTGAGGGGCGCCAGACACCAGGCTCACAGCTGGCGAGCGCAGCTGCAGCCGCACAAGCCTCTCCAGCCTCCATGGCAGCGTGCTACCGAGTGGCGGTGGCGGCAGCAGGAGCAGAGGGGCCAGGATGAGTGAGAGCAGAGTGGAATCCGGCAGAACAACATCCCCCCAGGGGTCCCGGATTGCAAGAGGGCACAGGCCAGGCTGAGGGACCCCACTGGTGCACAGATGCACCAGGCCTCTAGTAAAGATATAAGCATGGTCCTTACTATCACTAAGCTTACTGTTTATGTTGGTAATCAAATAATCATCCAAAAGATTGTATAATTAAATACTGAATTAAATGTAAAAAAAAACACACACACAAAAAAACCATGGTTAAACATGAGTGCTAACAAAACAACTTGAGACTTCCTGAAGGGTGGAGGACTTCCCTGGGGAGGTTATATCCAATAAAAAACAGAGAGAGAGAGAGAGAGAGAGAGAGAGGTGAAACAGAGAGAGAATTGGGGTGGGTGGAGACAGGTAGCATTTAAGGAAATAGACACAGCTTGTCAGTTTCCATAGAGACCCTATGGCTAGGGCAAGCAAGGTGTGTCCTCAGGACTTAAGACATATTCAACCCTTTGTAATACTTTTAGCGAAAAATAAAAAAAAATAAAAAAAAAGCACCAAAAAAAAAAAAAATAAGACATATTCAGAAGTACACACACACACACACACACACACACACACACACACACACCAGGCTAGGACGCAGAGAGCCTAGAGAGAAGAATTATAAAGAAAGAGGAGAAAACCCAAGAAGACTGGAGGTAGGCCAGGGTCAAACCTCAGTAAGATCCAGTTAAGCCCTAGCAAGCCTTCTCCTCACCTCTCTATATTCATTGCCCTCAAGGCCCTTACCTTTAGTTCTCACAACTGGCCCCTCACCACCCCATTTTCTCAGGCACTGCAAGCAGCCAGCTTCCTGCCTATCTCGGGACCTTTGTGTACAAGACACTCCTGTGCTTGGGCCCTTCTTTCAGGATCCAATCTGGCAAATTCCTACTCATCCCTCAAGTCTCACCTTAAATGTCACTTCCTTCCAGAAGCTTGCTTACACCCTCAGATGCCCTCATTACACTCTCATATACCACTGTTAACTTTCACTCACTGCATTTATCATAATTAATAATTACTTATTCAGACCTGTGTGCTTTTGGAAATCTGCTTTCCTCACTAGACTGTAAACTTGATGGTAGCAAAATCTATAGTCTATTTTGTTCATTGTTAACAGAGACAAAGAGGTGCACATTTAATACTTGTTGAATCTGAATTTCCTCTAAATTAATGAGCTCAATTTAAATTTAAATTCTAAAGACACAGCAATCTCTTCCAGACCTTTCCTACGCATAGGCACATATACACCTACAAAGAAATGGTGGGATTAAGATATTTACCATCTCTCTAACATTAATCTGTAAAATTTGTTCAGTTAATAGTAAAAGTTAGAAGTTAACAAGCTTCAAATTTCAAAATCAAGAATCCTTTCACTATTAAAAAAAATCTAAAAGACAATCACCATTGGCATTTTTTCCTGTGACAAAGCCAAGAAAAGCCCATGCCTCAAAATATCCCTTAACAGATCATAATTGTACAAGCAAAACTAAAATATTAATTTAGGCTCATAAATATAAAACAGGAAAAAAAAGAGTTAGAAATTCATCCCCCAAGCTAATCTATTGTTTATAGACAGAAAACTCAAAATCTGCCAGAAATCTCTGGGGAAGAAACATCAGCATCATTTTCTGGTTGCCATTTTGCTATGTCTGGAGTGTCTGTGCTGCTCAGTTCATTCAGCTATTAAATACAGACAGGAAAAGGGGGAAAGAATGTAGAAAGCAGAATTTTCTGGAATAAATGTCCTCATTATATTTTAATTATTAAGAAATATCAATATGCTACCATCCCAACTTTAAGCCCCAAGGATCTATTTCTAATTTTAAAATATACTAAAAAGATAATACTGTCTTTAAAA